TGGCTTATGTCATAAACTTATATATCAATCAGTCTTTCTGTAGAATGCTTTATTTGAATACAATCTGTCACTTTAAGTTTGCACGCCGTATATAGAAATAAATTATCATATTACGCTCAGAATCCAAATAAATCATTTTTATTAAAGTGAAAAAGTTTGTGGATTATTTTTAAATATCAATTGAACGAATTATTCTTGAACATCAATTTTATCAATTAATTAAGTTAATTAAGTTTACAATTATCAATTATCAATTAATTAAGTTTACAATAATAAGACCAAATACTAAAATTGCTTCAAAAGTTATCTCAATCAATTTTAATATTTTTCTTTTATTTCAACTTTTGATTATTGTAAACTTAATTATTTGGTATAATTGATATTTAAGAATTATCCGTTTTTATTAGATATTATTTAATCTTATCTGTTTGAAATTTTTTTTGTCAAGTCACTATTTCTGTGCGCGAAATTTGGTGGAAATCTTATGTGAAAAAATAAAATTTGATCAACTGATCAAATATTATTCAATCATAGAAGAACTTTTGGCATGCATTTAACTAAAGATGTTAGCTTACAAAAGTGCTAAATTTAAATCACACATCTTTCATATTTAATAAGAAATTAGTATTTAATGGAAAGTTTCGTATGGTTACTGATTTTGTAGTTTTAGATTGAGGCTCGATCTGTTGGACATTTGCAAAAACTAAATCGAGGACTTGAAAATAAAATCATTTCGTTGCAACAGAAACTTGATTTTATGGCAAGTATTATTAGTATCACTGAGTTTTAAATAATAAATGTGAAGAACCAGTAATTGGATAATTTTTATTTATTCAAGTTTGTATAATATGATAAAATTGGTTTAAAAATAGAATGGTTACGTAAAATCATGAAGAATTTGAAAAAATCATTTTAATTTAGAGTCAATGTACTCAAAACAGAAACAGTAATTAATTTTAAAACCTTTACGTTTGAAAGTAATAACTTAATATTTCCTTATTAACTCAAAGACAGAAGGAAATAGATGCAATCATTTTTGAAATGCTCAAAAATTAGAATCTAATTTTGATAATAAATGAAACGTTAAGCTGGAAACGATTGAAAAGTCATAAAAATCTGAAACTTATGTGTACTTAAGCATTCATAAAAGCATAAAATATTTCTACTTCAAATTTCAATAGAAAAAATTTACAAAATGCTTAAAAGTAATTTTTTGTCTTTTTCAATATAATTTAAATATTTTAGACTGCAGAAAATGGCAGACTTTGGATTATTTCTAATGAGGCTGATAAAATGCGAGCAGAAATGGCAAAATTGGAAACAGAAAGGTAGCCTTATTTTTTGATAACAAAATTACAAATATAATTTTTCATCCTAAATTTGAAAGTATTCCTCAGTTTTTAAATAATTTTCATATATTTATATTTTATATTTTATCAATGATCTTTAATGGAATAATTTAGATGCTTACTTTTGGCTAGTAAATCATATGCAGAAGACTTGGAAGCAAAAATAAGATTGCTAGAAGGTATACGAAAAGAAGAAACAGAAAAGAATTCCAAATTAGAGGAAAACTTACAAAATACAAAAAATGAATTGAAACTGGTAAAAACGTTTCTAAAATAGTTACAAAAACTATAATTGTTATTTTAATGAGCATTCTGAAAATTGTAATGTGACATTAATAGTAGTAAAAACCACTGTAATGATCAATATTATAATGAAGTCATTATTATTACTTACAGGATATAGATCTTACTTGTTGTTTAGTTAACTATATCAAGCTAAAATAACTTCGGGTTGTGTAGATAGTTTTTAAAACTATTTTAAATAGACAAAAATAACTCTCTGTAAAAATATTTTCACTATGTGTTTTTTATATGAAACGAATTTATAATACTATTTCATTCATAATTTATTTGGAAGCTTTTATGCTAAATTGATTAATATTCACGAATGTTGTTTCACTTTATGGGAGTTTCAGAAGATTAAAAAAATGTCTGTTAAAGTCGATAACTTAAATAACGAACTAACAACTCTTCGTCTGCATTATACCGAATTATCAAAACAGAAGAATCTTGTAGATATCGAATTAGCTCGAGGTATGCGTTACTTTTTACCGATGTGATTGAATTCCCGCTCAAATCTATTTTTCGAAATTTGAGTTATTTAATATATTTTCTGAATTCATAAAATTTTACTTTGTGACTTTTTTGTTTTAAAAAAATTACTTATTTTCAATTGTTATTGCTATCTTAGAAAAGAATCGCTGCTCGGAATCAGAAAAAGAAATATCTCAGATGCGTGAACAGCTTCTGGCAAATGCAAACCTTCTTGCAAGTCCTGTACTTAGTCGAGCAGGAAGTAAATTTCATGCTATGAGTTTTAGTTAGAATGAAAAGATTCGAATAATTGACATGGGAATTTCAATATTTACTGACACAATTTAGATTCCAAATTTTATTTTTTCATTCAATTTTAAAGTATTTTATAAATTATCACGTTTTCCTAAATAATTTGATGTTTTTTACGCTACTCACTTAATCGCAAACGTGCGTCAGAGTTTAGCAGCACTTTGATGAACTTTTAACCTTGGCAATCTAAAATTGAAAAGACGAAATTTTGATTTCAAGATGGAATGTATATGAATTTATTTTATTGCTAAATTAAGCAAGAAAAATATCATTTCTTGTCAGTGTCGAATTTTTAATCTCTTTCAAATCTTTTTAACTGTTCTCGAAATTGTTTAAAATTCATTCATTTCTGTGAAATGAATCGGAACAAAAATTACTAGTCTACAGGTATGCGAGTTAATGAAAACAATCTACGTCAACCAATTATGACTTGCAATCAAAACGTGGAAAAAATTGCTGCAAGCGGTGATTTGCATGAAATGACGCTGATTATAAAGCAACAAAATATGATCAACATTCTTCGTTCAAAGTATATTTTCTGTTAACTTTTATCAGTCTTTTTCTTTTCAAAATTCAAATTTTTAATTTACAATAGCAAAGCGTCAAAGTATGAATCGAAAGTATGAAAGTATGAAAGTATATTCGAATAATAATTCGTCTAATTTCAATTTGTTTTTGTTTTCATCTTATAATTTGTGCAAAAAAGTAAAGTTTTATTTCCATTTTGAGATGATAATATAAACGTTTTGAGTGCTAACACGACGTATTGTAAATAAATTTGTAATGAACTTCAGGAAATGTTTTAATTCCTCAAAATTTATATTTTAGTACATTATGCATATATAGTAGAGGTCAGTAATTCCAAGCTCTTATTATCTTAGTATTAATTGTCAAAATAATTGAAATCTCAAAGATATAAAAGATCATAACTGATGATTGCGAGATCTACATTATCCTCCCCTTATTATCGCTAAATAGATCTGTCACAAGTGATTAATATTACAGAAGTTGAAGTTCTGAAAAGAAGCACAAAAAAATATTATAATGTGAATTTTGCTTTTTACCTGACACATTTAGTTAATATGCATTTTATCTAGTCGATTTATCCAAATTTTATTCAGCTTTTGTTATTTTAGATAGTATTTTAGAATATTCATAGGACAATGATAATTTATAATGATAATTTATCAGGATGGAACAAAGCTTGCGAGAAAACGATCGTTTAAAGTCCATAATGGAAGCTAACACGTTGATCGAAAATTTAGATAAAAGAGCGGCTACAAAAGCATTTGAAACTCAGCGATTTCAAGTAAATTCTCATTTGTTATCATTATTGATTATTACTATGATTATTTTTATTATTATTGCTTATCATTATTATCATTTCCACTTTTATCATTATTATTTTTATTACTTTCGCAGTCATTTAAAACTGCTAACAAACAGTAATGTGTTCATTTTTACATACATTTCATTTGCTTATATTTAAAATTGTTCTTTAATATAATTTCATACTTTTATAATGATACGAAATGAAGTTTTTTTTCATCTTCCAATTATGGAATTTAAGCAATATTTTTGGAAGAAATTATAATTGTAAGCAAAAGGTTTTTTATAGGAATTAGAATTAGCATACAAAAAATTGAAAGACGAAATGCATCGTTTAGTAGATGAAAAAGTTAGGTGTGGAAGTGAAGCGATGAATTTTAGATCATTTGTTGAACGAACTTTGGAAGAAAATGATAGGTAAGTAATTAGTTTTGTCTTTTATATTTTTGTTTATTTTTTGAATTGTTCGAAACTTTTGAGAGTGTTTTTGATAATTTTTAGTAGCTAAATTGAAGTTCAGACCAGATTTGTCTTAATTTTTGCCAGTGTTTATTGACAACTGTATGGATTCATTTTTCAGTTGATTTGTAGTTGACATCATTTATTGTCTGAGAGCAGAAGAATCAGAATTGTTAGCTTAGAAATAGAAAATGTTAAATTTTAATAATTCACTAATTACTGCACAATAGTTCAATTCTAGTTGTATTTGAATTCATTATAACTGAATAAATATTTTGTGAATTTTACTAGTAATTCATTACTATTGACTTGACTGAATTTTCAATTGGCATTTATAATTTTCATAATAATTAAATCCATATGATAATTAGTAATCCCTATAAATAGTTGTAAGTTTTGTAATTCAAAAATGTTTGCATTTGAGAAAACTTATTCCGTCACGATTCTTTTTATAGTCTGACATAATTAGTTTTACATAAAAAATTTGGTATGACTAGTTTTTTAGCAGCATTTTTTTACTTCAAATTACTTACTGAAAATAATCTGAGTTCCAGCTATTTCAGTTTGCTTAATAATTATAAAAAAATAATTGTACTATTTGTATGATGTTTTTGATCACAAATTTTACGTATGTATTTTGTGTTAATAAAGGCGAAGAGAAGAAGCTGTTGAGTTACGAGCAATATTAGCTACGCAGTTTGAACGAAGAGCACAAGCTACAGATTCATCTCATCCGGATAGTGGTCAGTGGTCATCTGCTCACAGTGAGGATAGTTTTTGGAATGATTTAGACGAAGAATTAAGTCTTGAAAGACAATGTCGACAACTTAAATCACACGTGCAGTAAGCATTTGATAAAATTTAATATAAATTATATTTATAGTTTTGTGGTTTCTTTCTATCTATGCAAATGGGATTAAATATCAAAATTACTGTACTGAAAAATTATTATTTCTATTTGACTGTGATCAAAATTTCTTGCAAGGGCGTTATCGAGGACTGTCGTAGAAAGAAATATCGAAATTGAACGATTAGAAAATCGCTTGAATATACTTTCATCTTCCCAGGTAATTTGCTCATCTCGTAGTACTGAAATATTTTCAAAAGATAGTATGATTCAGAAAAGTGTTTATTTTGATGTGATCTTATTTGCGCAGAAAAAAGATCATTCAGACTATCTCATAAAATGAAAACATTTATTTGTAATCTCGTAAATATAATATGTTCTTCTAAATATAAAATATAATGAAAATAAATATTAATTTGTAGTTGTGTGAATTTTTAATATACATAAATATATTTATAATCAAAAAAGTATTCTTTGGATTTGAATTGATTAAGCTAATTGTATACATCGCTAAGGAAATCAAAAAGAGAACGTATTATCCAAGTAATGGGTCCACGAATTCCAATCATTTTATTACCTTCATTATTTGTGCAGTTGAAATGCATATGACTATTTTGATTACTTTTTTATGGTATACTTAAATACTTAAATACATGCATTCAGTAATAAGCAGTCATTCTGATCTGACGTTCAGTTTGTACCGATAATAAGCCAAATTATAAGAAACAAATTAATTCAATTTACTATATGTTCAGTTCTGTTCAATTCATTGCATAATTTTTATCAATATATCACATAATATTATCTCAAAACAGAAAAGTTAGTATTCGAAATACTTTTGATTTGAAAATTGTAATTTGCTGCTAAATTTTAGAGCATATTCAATTCAGTAATATTACACATACATACGATTAGTCACTTGCACAACTTTCAAAATATTCCAGAATACTTAATACTATGATTTTAATTCAGATTCATAGTGCCTATAATTTTTATAGTTCAATTTTACCACAAAGCATTAAAAACATTATTCGCTTCTTTTCTTTGTCAAGCTTTTTCACTTAATCATTTTTGTTACAGTAACAGTATGCAATTTTTGTACGGGCAAATAATATTACAATAATATTCCTAATTATCATTTTCATTTTCTAAAGAAATAAAAACTTAACGCAGTCGTAGAAAGACTGAATGTTAGATTAAGATTAATAGAAAGAAACATAGACAAAAACTGTTGTCATTACTAATGCAAAGTTTTTATTTTTGAAATTTCGTCTGCAAAAATTTTACAAGTAGTAGTTTGACATGTTAGTAAGACTAAACTAGTTTTGGGTATTTTGTTTGGCTAATTGCAATCAATCTTTTTTGCATTATACATTTTAAAAATATTTGATTAATATTGTTCATTTCTTATTATTCTAACTGGAAAAGTTAAATAGAAATTGTGTGATTAATTCATACTAATTTGTATCAAAACTTTAATGTTTTTAATCGAAGGATTTTTTAAATTACTGGATTGAAATTAGCAATGAAAGAATTATTAGAGTAAAAGCTTGAAATTATTTATATCTCTAAGACAAAAATTAACTGTAGCGATTCAATTTTTAATTCAAATACAAATTAACAATTTTAAGTCATTAAAAAGATTCAAAATTACTTTATAACAAAAATTATTTCGTATCATTTTGTTGAGATTAGTACTACAAATACAAAAGCTGTCATGCATAAAAAAGTTCATCCGATAATGATTACTTGAAAAACTTGTTTTTTGCTTTTTATAACGAAAAATGAAAATAATAACGACTTTGCTTTGAGAAAAGTTTTCGTGTCAAATTGCCATACATAACTAATGAGCAGATAAACTGAAACTACTCTTATGTTTTGCGTGATTTCTTATCAAATATCATATATTCTTGTCAAATACTATGTATTATCTGAATATCTAATATCAAACACATTCCTCTTCTCAATTTTGCTCTACTCATTGCATCTAATATCAATAATGCGATTTGTAATCATTAAAAATCATAATAATTTTTGTCATTTAATAAAAAAATTAAATAGACTAGAATTGAAAACTATGTTGAGATTAAGAAGTACCTCACATAAAGTATTATCATTTGAAAAGGAGTGAAGATTTTTGATAACTTTGATATATTTTGAGCTTATGTTGAACTTAAGTTTACTTTCATTGTTAGCGAATTATTATAGCGAATAACTGAAGCAAAAAGTATGTGCTGAATTATTCTATTCTATAAATAGCTATTTTTTGTGACTTTTTTGAGATGCCTTCAAGAATCGATTCAATCTAATCTAGCAAGTATTCTCTGTCTCTTCTAAAAATTATACTTCTTTTTCAATGCGTTTCTTTTCAAAATGCTTAAAATGGCTTCATCCAACTTCGCCATTTTTTGCATACATCAAAAAGAAAGATTGCATTCAAAACTGTATACAACGGAAAAGCAAATTCATACGTAATTCTCGTTTATATTTTCATCAAACTTTGTTAGTCACTTCAGCTTGCGTGAATTACTCTTAATCTTCACCAATAACTTACTAGTATATTATATTTGGGAAAATGTGCACTTTTTAGAATGAAAAGTTTATTTTGGTTTTTTGAGCTGTTTGCTTGCACTAACATTATGATCAGTAAGCGTTAATTATTGACTACAATCTTCAGAATATAAAAATAGGAAAGTAATAGTTTAATATTTAATAATAGTTAAAAAGTAATACTTGAAAAATAAAATATAAATAAAAGTATTTTTTACACGCAAATTGTTTGCTTTGAAAGAAAAAATTAGGCAGAGAGCAGTTATATTTGTCTTTTATTCAGTGAAAACTTTAAAAGTGATCGAATGTGTGTTAGTTATGTTTTTATTCGAACGATACATAAAAGTATTTGTAATTTTTTGTAATACTAACTAACCATTTGTATTTTTGCAATGCAAATTTTGAATTGATTAAATATCAAACGCAAATTAAAAACATTAGTTTTGCCAGATGGCTGGCTCTAAATTATCTCATTACCAATTCCTTATTTAGTCAGCGAATTAGTTAATTAACATATTACTCTGTTATGAATGGACAAGAATAACAAGTTGAGTAAGTGATAATTCATTTCTATATTCAATTCAAACAATTCTTCTATAGCAGTGTTGAATTTTGTGCATTAATGTAAAATATATTTAATTATATTAGTGATATAATGTTTGTTCAGCAAATGCATGAAATTAATTTATTATTTTTTTTTACTTTTCAATCATTTTAAAAATGAATGCTCTTTATTATGCATGTATACTTCTGTTGATATCTTTGGTTATTCTAAGATGTTTTACTGATTTTCTTCCTTCAAAAAGTTTGTTGCACAGATTCCGCACTTCATTTTTCATTTGTATTTGAATATTTGTTAAAATTGAAACTATGGAATCAACAGTATGACATGACGATTTAGTTTAATATTTCAAGGTTACATTAAAATTTGCAAAATATATCATAAATACGTTGTTAACCCATTTCATATTAAGATTATACTAAATATAAAATATTGTTTTTAAAGTTTTTTCTGAATGCTTGCGTTTATTACTTACTGCTGTTCTAAGTGCTTCTTAAAGTGATGAATTTAGAGTTAAAGTAAGCGGGTAAGGTTGATTTTTTTAAACTTGCAGAATTTAAGCTGCCAGAAGTGGTACTTCTTCAGAAATTCTTCCTTCCACTTCAGTTTTCGCAGTTTTTTGCTGTTGAAAAAAATTTTTACGCCTTAGAATGAATATTCATTCTAATCTAAAATCACATGCTAACAAAACGTCCTAAATTATGACAATACATTATACACATTGTTTTTTGGCTTGATTATAGAGTAGATTCGTTATGGAAAATTGGAATAATAATTAGTTTGTACTCAATCAAGATCAGATTCATAAAACTTTGTCAACTGATCGATCGATTAATGCATTTATCAACTTTTTTTACGTTCAAAATTTCAATTTCACTCAATTATTCCAATATTCTCACAACTTTTTACCTAATTTATGAATAACTAATTGATCACATGATTGATTGATAAGGAACTGAATGATTCAAGTCGTCTATTTTCATTTTCAATTACACTGCATGAAATGGAAGTTATTTCTCGATTTGTGCTTGAAATGATATGAAATATCCAAATGGGTCATTAAGTAATCAACAAATTCAGTTTCGATCATAGTTTATAGGGACTTTATCTTTCACAAACCGCCTAATCTTTCACATTTCTCCAAAATTTTCATTTTCGTTGTAACATTTCACTCCAGAAAATCACTGCTGATCCAAATAGAAATTTTCAATCATAATAAATATGATGATATTAGAACAAGAACTGATAGTATACTGAACTATGTTAGTACAATAAACTGTCTTATTACTTCAGTTCATAAGCAAAAACTAGCAATATTCAATAGTGGAATATATCAATCATTTTCAGGCACAAAATCAGTTTGACTTTTTGATTTTCAGTTCTCAATAATTACTTTTTTAAATATTTGTAGAGCAAATCATTTATAAGAAAAGTCGTGGAAGTTTTGTTTATAATACTATTTAATTATGTCATTATCTAATTTTTGTACTGTTATCTTAGATCAAAGGAGATTTCACCTCAAGATTTATGTTTCTACGATATAATTTTATAAATTTTTGAATTAATATTAAATCATTTGGCATTAGTGTGTCTTGTAATTGAGATTGAACTTTTCACAAACAAACGATGTGACTGTTCTGTTCATTTGAATTGTTTTTTTACCATCTATACTTTACGAATTATAATGAATTTTTGAGTGAATTCAAATAACTGAATCAATTTTTGCAAAAAATTGATAACAGCTATGATCATGTATTCTTCAATCAACCAACATCCCAACTGCTTATCACGTTCACCTGATTTTTATCAACTTACTTTCCCCAGTGAAGAAGTTGATGCTGATAATTTCTCGTTTAGTGAAATTGTAAGTAAAGTTTTTAAATATGCTAAAGTTTCATATTAAAGTAACTACATATATTTGACAATTGAAATTTATTAACAAAAGCTTTACAAATGCGTGTTTTTGATTATAAATTGAAGTGAATTGATCAAGTAACGTACTTCTGGACTTTGTTTAATC